GGGTGAAGATCTGAAGCAAGGATTCAGTCATGGGGAACGGGCACACGTGGCAACAGCTACACGATAACGTGAATGGAAGAGAGCTCATCGTGTGTAGGCGCGAGAGAGATGGTACATCGACTGAATCCAAGTGGCAAACGATCGATAGTCCATGGTATGAGATCTCTTGGATGGTCACTAGCGACCACTTTCAGGCAGCAGTCCATTTTCTAGGAATAGAAGCTTGTTGAAGTCGAGGTATCTTAGCTCACTATGGCTAACATTTCAGCACGATGATCAGGGCGGCTTTGGTGAAGTGTGACAGTGGCTGGTTTCATGCGGAGGCGGTTGCGAATTGTGTGTGTGTGCGGTAAGAAGAGAGCGGAAGGCGAGTGGTTATTGGGAAATGTTGTGTAGTGGTGTTGTTATAATCGTTCTTCTGCCTGTGCGGTCGTCGGTGTCGTCTAGTGGTTAGGACGTGAGCTTCACACGCTCGAGATCGAGGGTTCGATCCCCTCCTCCGATATTTGATTTCTTGCTGGACCATTCATCTGCTCTTTTCTGATTAAATGAGCTCCACTCTGGCCAGATTCGATGGCTACACTGGCGGTGACCACAGCGGGAAATATCGAAACTCTGTGTCCAAGGTAAACAAGGATCACCGTCTTGTTCGCAAGCTGAGATTAATCTGGTATGCGTGAGACACCCACTGGATGGTATGACATTGTCATCTTACGCGGAGGTTTACGTGCGGTACGAGCAACGGTAAAGGCGTGCGGTGGACGACTGTATGTAGCTCGTATGGGGTTCGTGTCATGTACATCGCGACTAATGTGTCAGTCGACAGGTGTTGCTGCGGGGCAACGTGGTGACATATCTCAGCAGTGGACGTTCAAGACAGCTTATCCGAGCGGTTAAAGCGACAGCTCAAAATCTGGTGGGGTAACCCGCGTGGGTTCAAGTCTCACAGCCGTCGATGTCATTGCTAACGACAGTTGCCACACAGCAAACCCCTTCAGACATTGCTTTGGATAGTAGCGCTTTGTTACAACATGAACGAACGCCTTGACCCTGTCGATGCATCTGTAAGAAAGAGAGCCCATGGAGGCAATGTAATAATGTGGTGTCAGCTCATGATACCATCATTTGTAGGCGACGACAAAACGTTTGAATAGTTCGACCAACTGGTTCAGAGGGCCCAGAACCGCACGTGGCGATTGTTGAAGCCTGTACGCATAACTAAAGCTTGTAGAATTTCAAAATGCGATTTGGGGATGATGGGACTGCGAGGACAGCTTGGCCGAGTGGTTAAGGCGATAGACTAGAAATCTATTGGGGCGACCCGCGTGAGTCCAAATCTGGCAGCTGTCGGATACATTTGGTCGTGCAGGGCGTTTATACACCACTCACAGACATCTGGCGTCTACGCACGATGCTTTGTCTTGCCTGCCAAGATCACGGTATTGAAGATGGGTGTGTCTTGCTCACAGTCTCATCACTTGAAGCCCTTTCCTGATATCCACCTGTCTTCGGGCGCTCAATACCCGCACCGATACCCTTGGTTTTAGCCCAGTAATCAGACTGGATGTGCATGACATCCACTGGTGAAGATCTGAAGCAAGGATTCAGTCATGGGGAACGGGCACACGTGGCAACAGCTACACGATAACGTGAATGGAAGAGAGCTCATCGTGTGTAGGCGCGAGAGAGATGGTACATCGACTGAATCCAAGTGGCAAAAGATCGATAGTCCATGGTATGAGATCTCTTGGATGGTCACTAGCGACCACTTTCAGGCAGCAGTCCATTTTCTAGGAATAGAAGCTTGTTGAAGTCGAGGTATCTTAGCTCACTATGGCTAACATTTCAGCACGATGATCAGGGCGGCTTTGGTGAAGTGTGACAGTGGCTGGTTTCATGCGGAGGCGGTTGCGAATTGTGTGTGTGTGCGGTAAGAAGAGAGCGGAAGGCGAGTGGTTATTGGGAAATGTTGTGTAGTGGTGTTGTTATAATCGTTCTTCTGCCTGAGCGGTCGTCGGTGTCGTCTAGTGGTTAGGACGCGAGCTTCACACGCTCGAGATCGAGGGTTCGATCCCCCCTCCGATATTTGATTTCTTGCTGGACCATTCATCTGCTCTTTTCTGATTAAATGAGCTCCACTCTGGCCAGATTCGATGGCTACACTGGCGGTGACCACAGCGGGAAATATCGAAACTCTGTGTCCAAGGTAAACAAGGATCACCGTCTTGTTCGCAAGCTGAGATTAATCTGGTATGCGTGAGACACCCACTGGATGGTATGACATTGCCATCTTACGCGGAGGTTTACGTGCGGTACGAGCAACGGTAAAGGCGTGCGGTGGACGACTGTATGTAGCTCGTATGGGGTTCGTGTCATGTACATCGCGACTAATGTGTCAGTCGACAGGTGTTGCTGCGGGGCAACGTGGTGACATATCTCAGCAGTGGACGTTCAAGACAGCTTATCCGAGCGGTTAAAGCGACAGCTCAAAATCTGGTGGGGTAACCCGCGTGGGTTCAAGTCTCACAGCCGTCGATGTCATTGCTAACGACAGTTGCCACACAGCAAACCCCTTCAGACATTGCTTTGGATAGTAGCGCTTTGTTACAACATGAACGCCTTGACCCTGTCGATGCATCTGTAAGAAAGAGAGCCCATGGAGGCAATGTAATAATGTGGTGTCAGCTCATGATACCATCATTTGTAGGCGACGACAAAACGTTTGAATAGTTCGACCAACTGGTTCAGAGGGCCCAGAACCGCACGTGGCGATTGTTGAAGCCTGTACGCATAACTAAAGCTTGTAGAATTTCAAAATGCGATTTGGGGATGATTGGACTGCGAGGACAGCTCGGCCGAGTGGTTAAGGCGATAGACTAGAAATCTATTGGGGCGACCCGCGTGAGTCCAAATCTGGCAGCTGTCGGATACATTTGGTCGTGCAGGGCGTTTATACACCACTCACAGACATCTGGCGTCTACGCACGATGCTTTGTCTTGCCTGCCAAGATCACGGTATTGAAGATGGGTGTGTCTTGCTCACAGTCACATCACTTGAAGCCCTTTCCTGATATCCACCTGTCTTCGGGCGCTCAATACCCGCACCGATACCCTTGGTTTTAGCCCAGTAATCAGACTGGATGTGCATGACACCCACTGGTGAAGATCTGAAGCAAGGATTCAGTCATGGGGAACGGGCACACGTGGCAACAGCTACACGATAACGTGAATGGAAGAGAGCTCATCGTGTGTAGGCGCGAGAGAGATGGTACATCGACTGAATCCAAGTGGCAAACGATCGATAATCCATGGTATGAGATCTCTTGGATGGTCACTAGCGACCACTTTCAGGCAGCAGTCCATTTTCTAGGAATAGAAGCTTGTTGAAGTCGAGGTATCTTAGCTCACTATGGCTAACATTTCAGCACGATGGTCAGGGCGGCTTTGGTGAAGTGTGACAGTGGCTGGTTCATGCGGAGGCGGTTGCGAATTGTGTGTGTGTGTGTGTGTGCGGTAAGAAGAGTGGTTATTGGGAAATGTTGTGTAGTGGTGTTGTTATAATCGTTCTTCTGCCTGTGCGGTCGTCGGTGTCGTCTAGTGGTTAGGACGCGAGCTTCACACGCTCGAGATCGAGGGTTCGATCCCCTCCTCTGATATTTGATTTCTTGCTGGACCATTCATCTGCTCTTTTCTGATTAAATGAGCTCCACTCTGGCCAGATTCGATGGCTACACTGGCGGTGACCACAGCGGGAAATATCGAAACTCTGTGTCCAAGGTAAACAAGGATCACCGTCTTGTTCGCAAGCTGAGATTAATCTGGTATGCGTGAGACACCCACTGGATGGTATGACATTGCCATCTTACGCGGAGGTTTACGTGCGGTACGAGCAACGGTAAAGGCGTGCGGTGGACGACTGTATGTAGCTCGTATGGGGTTCGTGTCATGTACATCGCGACTAATGTGTCAGTCGACAGGTGTTGCTGCGGGGCAACGTGGTGACATATCTCAGCAGTGGACGTTCAAGACAGCTTATCCGAGCGGTTAAAGCGACAGCTCAAAATCTGGTGGGGTAACCCGCGTGGGTTCAAGTCTCACAGCCGTCGATGTCATTGCTAACGACAGTTGCCACACAGCAAACCCCTTCAGACATTGCTTTGGATAGTAGCGCTTTGTTACAACATGAACGCCTTGACCCTGTCGATGCATCTGTAAGAAAGAGAGCCCATGGAGGCAATGTAATAAGGTGGTGTCAGCTCATGATACCATCATTTGTAGGCGACGACAAAACGTTTGAATAGTTCGACCAACTGGTTCAGAGGGCCCAGAACCGCATGTGGCGATTGTTGAAGCCTGTACGCATAACTAAAGCTTGTAGAATTTCAAAATGCGATTTGGGGATGATTGGACTGCGAGGACAGCTCGGCCGAGTGGTTAAGGCGATAGACTAGAAATCTATTGGGGCGACCCGCGTGAGTCCAAATCTGGCAGCTGTCGGATACATTTATTCGTGCAGGGCGTTTATACACCACTCACAGACATCTGGCGTCTACGCACGATGCTTTGTCTTGCCTGCCAAGATCACGGTATTGAAGATGGGTGTGTCTTGCTCACAGTCTCATCACTTGAAACCCTTTCCTGATATCCACCTGTCTTCGGGCGCTCAATACCCGCACCGATACCCTTGGTTTTAGCCCAGTAATCAGACTGGATGTGCATGCCATCCACTGGTGAAGATCTGAAGCAAGGATTCAGTCATGGGGAACGGGCACACGTGGCAACAGCTACACGATAACGTGAATGGAAGAGAGCTCATCGTGTGTAGGCGCGAGAGAGATGGTACATCGACTGAATCCAAGTGGCAAAAGATCGATAGTCCATGGTATGAGATCTCTTGGATGGTCACTAGCGACCACTTTCAGGCAGCAGTCCATTTTCTAGGAATAGAAGCTTGTTGAAGTCGAGGTATCTCAGTTCACTATGGCTAACATTTCAGCACGATGGTCAAGGCGGCTTTGGTGAAGTGTGACAGTGGCTGGTTTCATGCGGAGGCGGTTGCGAATTGTGTGTGTGTGTGTGTGCGGTAAGAAGAGAGCGGAAGGCGAGTGGTTATTGGGAAATGTTGTGTAGCGGTGTTGTTATAATCGTTCTTCTGCCTGTGCGGTCGTCGGTGTCGTCTAGTGGTTAGGACGTGAGCTTCACACGCTCAAGATCGAGGGTTCGATGCCCTCCTCCGATATTAGATTTCTTGCTGGACCATTCATCTGCTCTTTTCTGATTAAATGAGTTCCACTCTGGCCAGATTCGATGGCTACACTGGCGGTGACCACAGCGGGAAATATCGAAACTCTGTGTCCAAGGTAAACAAGGATCACCGTCTTGTTCGCAAGCTGAGATTAATCTGGTATGCGTGAGACACCCACTGGATGGTATGACATTGCCATCTTACGCGGAGGTTTACGTGCGGTACGAGCAACGGTAAAGGCGTGCGGTGGACGACTGTATGTAGCTCGTATGGGGTTCGTGTCATGTACATCGCGACTAATGTGTCAGTCGACAGGTGTTGCTGCGGGGCAACGTGGTGACATATCTCAGCAGTGGACGTTCAAGACAGCTTATCCGAGCGGCTAAAGCGACAGCTCAAAATCTGGTGGGGTAACCCGCGTGGGTTCAAGTCTCACAGCCGTCGATGTCATTGCTAACGACAGTTGCCACACAGCAAACCCCTTCAGACATTGCTTTGGATAGTAGCGCTTTGTTACAACATGAACGCCTTGACCCTGTCGATGCATCTGTAAGAAAGAGAGCCCGTGGAGGCAAGGTAATAAGGTGGTGTTGGCTCATGATACCATCATTTGTAGGCGACGACAAAACGTTTGAATAGTTCGACCAACTGGTTCAGAGGGCCCAGAACCGCATGTGGCGATTGTTGAAGCCTGTACGCATAACTAAAGCTTGCAGAATTTCAAAATGCGATTTGGGGATGATTGGACTGCGAGGACAGCTCGGCCGAGTGGTTAAGGCGACAGACTAGAAATCTATTGGGGCGACCCGCGTGAGTCCAAATCTGGCAGCTGTTGGATACATTTATTCGTGCAGGGTGTTTATACAACACTCACAGACATCTGGCGTCTACGCACGATGCTTTGTCTTGCCTGCCAAGATCACGGTATTGAAGATGGGTGTGTCTTGCTCACAGTCTCATCACTTGAAACCCTTTCCTGATATCCACCTGTATTCGGGCGCTCAATACCCGCACCGATACCCTTGGTTTTAGCCCAGTAATCAGACTGGATGTGCATGCCATCCACTGGTGAAGATCTGAAGCAAGGATTCAGTCATGGGGAACGGGCACACGTGGCAACAGCTACACGATAACGTGAATGGAAGAGATCTCATCGTGTGTAGGCGCGAGAGAGATGGTACATCGACTGACTCCATGTGGCAAAAGATCGATAGTCCATGGTATGAGATCTCTTGGATGGTCACTAGCGACCACTTTCAGGCAGCAGTCCATTTTCTAGGAATAGAAGCTTGTTGAAGTCGAGGTATCTCAGTTCACTATGGCTAACATTTCAGCACGATGGTCAAGGCGGCTTTGGTGAAGTGTGACAGTGGCTGGTTTCATGCGGAGGCGGTTGCGAATTGTGTGTGTGTGTGTGTGTGCGGTAAGAAGAGTGGTTGTTGGGAAATGTTGTGTAGCGGTGTTGTTATAATCGTTCTTCTGCCTGAGCGGTCGTCGGTGTCGTCTAGTGGTTAGGACGTGAGCTTAACACTCTCAAGATCGAGGGTTCGATCTTCCGATATTTGATTTCTTGCTGGACCATTCATCTGCTCTTTTCTGATTAAATGAGCTCCACTTTGGCCAGATTCGATGGCTACACTGGCGGTGACCACAGCGGGAAATATCGAAACTCTGTGTCCAAGGTAAACAAGGATCACCGTCTTGTTCGCAAGCTGAGATTAATCTGGTATGCGTGAGACACCCACTGGATGGTATGACATTGTCATCTTACGCGGAGGTTTACGTGCGGTACGAGCAACGGTAAAGGCGTGCGGTGGACGACTGTATGTAGCTCGTATGGGGTTCGTGTCATGTACATCGCGACTAATGTGTCAGTCGACAGGTGTTGCTGCGGGGCAACGTGGTGACATATCTCAGCAGTGGACGTTCAAGCGGCTTATCCGAGCGGCTAAAGCGACAGCTCAAAATCTGGTGGGGTAACCCGCGTGGGTTCAAGTCTCACAGCCGTCGATGTCATTGCTAACGACAGTTGCCACACAGCAAACCCCTTCAGACATTGCTTTGGATAGTAGCGCTTTGTTACAACATGAACGCCTTGACCCTGTCGATGCATCTGTAAGAAAGAGAGCCCGTGGAGGCAAGGTAATAAGGTGGTGTTGGCTCATGATACCATCATTTGTAGGCGACGACAAAACGTTTGAATAGTTCGACCAACTGGTTCAGAGGGCCCAGAACCGCATGTGGCGATTGTTGAAGCCTGTACGCATAACTAAAGCTTGCAGAATTTCAAAATGCGATTTGGGGATGATTGGACTGCGAGGACAGCTCGGCCGAGTGGTTAAGGCGACAGACTAGAAATCTATTGGGGCGACCCGCGTGAGTCCAAATCTGGCAGCTGTTGGATACATTTATTCGTGCAGGGTGTTTATACACCACTCACAGACATCTGGCGTCTACGCACGATGCTTTGTCTTGCCTGTTAAGATCACGGTATTGAAGATGGGTGTGTCTTGCTCACAGTCTCATCACTTGAAACCCTTTCCTGATATCCACCTGTATTCGGGCGCTCAATACCCGCACCGATACCCTTGGTTTTAGCCCAGTAATCAGACTGGATGTGCATGCCATCCACTGGGTGAAGATCTGAAGCAAGGATTCAGTCATGGGGAACGGGCACACGTGGCAACAGCTACACGATAACGTGAATGGAAGAGAGCTCATCGTGTGTAGGCGCGAGAGAGATGGTACATCGACTGAATCCAAGTGGCAAACGATCGATAGTCCATGGTATGAGATCTCTTGGATGGTCACTAGCGACCACTTTCAGGCAGCAGTCCATTTTCTAGGAATAGAAGCTTGTTGAAGTCGAGGTATCTCAGTTCACTATGGCTAACATTTCAGCACGATGGTCAAGGCGGCTTTGGTGAAGTGTGACAGTGGCTGGTTTCATGCGGAGGCGGTTGCGAATTGTGTGTGTGTGTGTGTGTGTGCGGTAAGAAGAGTGGTTGTTGGGAAATGTTGTGTAGCGGTGTTGTTATAATCGTTCTTCTGCCTGTGCGGTCGTCGGTGTCGTCTAGTGGTTAGGACGTGAGCTTCACACGCTCAAGATCGAGGGTTCGATGCCCTCCTCCGATATTAGATTTCTTGCTGGACCATTCATCTGCTCTTTTCTGATTAAATGAGTTCCACTCTGGCCAGATTCGATGGCTACACTGGCGGTGACCACAGCGGGAAATATCGAAACTCTGTGTCCAAGGTAAACAAGGATCACCGTCTTGTTCGCAAGCTGAGATTAATCTGGTATGCGTGAGACACCCACTGGATGGTATGACATTGCCATCTTACGCGGAGGTTTACGTGCGGTACGAGCAACGGTAAAGGCGTGCGGTGGACGACTGTATGTAGCTCGTATGGGGTTCGTGTCATGTACATCGCGACTAATGTGTCAGTCGACAGGTGTTGCTGCGGGGCAACGTGGTGACATATCTCAGCAGTGGACGTTCAAGCGGCTTATCCGAGCGGCTAAAGCGACAGCTCAAAATCTGGTGGGGTAACCCGCGTGGGTTCAAGTCTCACAGCCGTCGATGTCATTGCTAACGACAGTTGCCACACAGCAAACCCCTTCAGACATTGCTTTGGATAGTAGCGCTTTGTTACAACATGAACGCCTTGACCCTGTCGATGCATCTGTAAGAAAGAGAGCCCGTGGAGGCAAGGTAATAAGGTGGTGTTGGCTCATGATACCATCATTTGTAGGCGACGACAAAACGTTTGAATAGTTCGACCAACTGGTTCAGAGGGCCCAGAACCGCATGTGGCGATTGTTGAAGCCTGTACGCATAACTAAAGCTTGCAGAATTTCAAAATGCGATTTGGGGATGATTGGACTGCGAGGACAGCTCGGCCGAGTGGTTAAGGCGACAGACTAGAAATCTATTGGGGCGACCCGCGTGAGTCCAAATCTGGCAGCTGTTGGATACATTTATTCGTGCAGGGTGTTTATACAACACTCACAGACATCTGGCGTCTACGCACGATGCTTTGTCTTGCCTGCCAAGATCACGGTATTGAAGATGGGTGTGTCTTGCTCACAGTCTCATCACTTGAAACCCTTTCCTGATATCCACCTGTATTCGGGCGCTCAATACCCGCACCGATACCCTTGGTTTTAGCCCAGTAATCAGACTGGATGTGCATGCCATCCACTGGTGAAGATCTGAAGCAAGGATTCAGTCATGGGGAACGGGCACACGTGGCAACAGCTACACGATAACGTGAATGGAAGAGATCTCATCGTGTGTAGGCGCGAGAGAGATGGTACATCGACTGACTCCATGTGGCAAAAGATCGATAGTCCATGGTATGAGATCTCTTGGATGGTCACTAGCGACCACTTTCAGGCAGCAGTCCATTTTCTAGGAATAGAAGCTTGTTGAAGTCGAGGTATCTCAGTTCACTATGGCTAACATTTCAGCACGATGGTCAAGGCGGCTTTGGTGAAGTGTGACAGTGGCTGGTTTCATGCGGAGGCGGTTGCGAATTGTGTGTGTGTGTGTGTGTGTGCGGTAAGAAGAGTGGTTGTTGGGAAATGTTGTGTAGCGGTGTTGTTATAATCGTTCTTCTGCCTGAGCGGTCGTCGGTGTCGTCTAGTGGTTAGGACGTGAGCTTCACACGCTCAAGATCGAGGGTTCGATGCCCTCCTCCGATATTAGATTTCTTGCTGGACCATTCATCTGCTCTTTTCTGATTAAATGAGTTCCACTCTGGCCAGATTCGATGGCTACACTGGCGGTGACCACAGCGGGAAATATCGAAACTCTGTGTCCAAGGTAAACAAGGATCACCGTCTTGTTCGCAAGCTGAGATTAATCTGGTATGCGTGAGACACCCACTGGATGGTATGACATTGTCATCTTACGCGGAGGTTTACGTGCGGTACGAGC